TCTGCTCAGCACTTGTGGGACTGTGTCTGGAACGCAGTACACTGCTGGGTCCCTGACATGAAAACAAAAAAAAGTGTTGATGGACTACAGCAAGTTCAGCAGAAGACTGCTGGTGGCATGGGCTGCAGCACCTCCCTGGTGAGGAGAGGCTGATGAAGCTGGTCCTGTTCGGCTTGGGGAAGGGATAACGCTGGGGGAATGTAACCACAGCCCGCCTAACCACACAGCCAGTGTGGGAAGGTTATGAGATGATGGGGCTGGGCTTGTCAAAGCACTGCGTGGCAGGAGAGTGATAGACAGAGGGCAAAAATTGCAACAGCAGAGGTGAGGTTTAGAGCAGTTACAAACAAAAGCTTTTCCACCATTAGGACAGACGTTTTGGAAGATGGTCCCCAGAGAAGCTGGAAGTCCTTGGAGATTTTCAAGACCTGACTGGATGAAGCTCTGAGCAACTTGGCCTGGCCTCACAATGACCAACCCTCAATCAGGAGGTTGGACTAGAGACCTCCTGAGGTCTTGTCTGACCAATGATCCTATGGATGCTAGACATGTTAATTGTTTCAGAAAGAACCAGGAAACTGTAAGGGAATGTTGTTTCCTTGTCCTCTTTCTAAAAAGGCAGATCTGGAGGACAGAAAACGTGAAGTGTCTGGTATCAGCCTCATTCCTATTGCTGAGACTTTGTGGTCTCTGCACTGTAAGGCTGTCGAGTTGCTCTCAGGTGTGGTGTGAAATTCCATGCTGAGGCAGCCCAAGTTTCCAACAGGTGCCCTTGGAGAGCGTGATATGCAAAATCCCCATCCTACACTGAAAGAAAATTGATCTGTCAGATGATGCTGACTCATTATTAGACAAAGGCAGTCTTCTCTAAAGAAAGAAATTGTATTTGTCTTTTATATAGCTTGTTTTGCCTTACATAAGAAATAGCTAAAGTCCTATTTTCAGGCACCAGACAAGAACAAAGTTTTTTTCTAGAGTTTTCTTTCAAATCTATGGAAGAAAGTTTGAATGGATTTTATTTTCTGAGGAGCAAATTTGTCCTTTTTACCTCTAACTGCTAGGACTATATTCTAGCAACAAAAGGCACAGAAAAAGTTTGCAAATAAGGTGTGTTTTCATGCTCCAAATATGTCAGCCACTATGTTGTATGTGCTTGCAATGAGTACACTTCACAGTGGCAATGACCCTCAGGAAGTGTTTGTCTGTTTTAATGTGGTTAGTGTAACATGCTTCGTAGGAGTATAGCTTCACAACTATTATATACTGATTGTATACACTTACACACAGGTTTTATGTTGATTTATGTTTCTAGGAAAGATTTGTAGGAAATCTTACTTGTCCATGGTAGGCTAAGCAAGCAGAACAGCCTTTTCATATTCTTGCTGCTGCTGTAGCCACCCAGTATAGCCCAACAGCTAAGGAAATTCAGCTCCTGCTCTGACCACAAAAGACCTATCTATTTTGTAACTGCTTAGACTGTCACCACATTTCTTCTGAATTTCTGTCTGTAGCTAACATTCATGAAGTATAGCGGAGTAGTACAAACAGACCTTCCTTTTAATATGATATGTACTTACCATAAATACTACCAGACTCCTTCAGAAGTTTCCTGGATTTAGCCTCTTTAGCTTACATACTTCACTGAAGTCCTAAATGAATTAATCCTGTGAAGTGGAAATCTGTAGCTGAATAGGGACTGTGCAATCTGACTGCAAAACATCCTTTCTCCACCCGGCCCACTTGAAAAGAGAAGATTGAAATAGAAGCCCTCTTTCAGGAAACAATGTAATTCACTCTATGGCTGTGTGGGAGAGCAACTGACTACACATTATCTTTCCACAAGTGCTAAAGAAAAATCATAATCGTTTTCTCAAGCTGTAATCCAGGGGAGAGAAGCCTTATTCATAAAAAGAACACCCTCAAAGCTAAGAACTCAAAAGAAGAGGGCTCTTGCACCAAGACCCTACGAAGCCTGTGGAAAAGGGGCTTCTGCAGGCATCTCTCCAGTGTCTTCTCAAGGTGTCCAATGGAACAAGAATAGAATAACAATCTGCTTGCGTGGTGCCTAGGGAACTGCCTCCAGTCAGGAAAAACAGAAAGGTTAAATTTTATTTCAGTGCTGAACAGGAGGGGTGTTCATAGAAAAATACTAGGACAGCTCTGATACGCAATTGTACACAACATATCAAAGTTGTTGAACAGGCTGCTCAGGGAAGTGGTTGAGTCACCATCCCTGGAGGTCTTCAGGAAACATATGGAGTTAGAACTTAGAAACATGGTTTAGTGGTGGACTTCAGTACTAGGTTAAAGGTTAGACTAGATGATCTTAGAGGTCTTTTCCAACCTGAATGAATCTATGATTCCATGATAAAGTGCATCTTTCTGAAAATAAATAAATAAATAAATAAATTACAGTTCTCCTGCTTCCTTTTCAGAAGGTATCAGAAATAGGGTGGGTTCTGCTTACAGCCCACCTGCCATTTCATTTTGAATGCTCCTATCAACAAGCACTCAAAATAATATTTGGTTTTGGTATTTGGACAGTTTGCAGATTCACCAGTTAGATAAATCCCTCCCCGTGTGACAGGGAGCACTATAAATGTTTGATGAGCCTGAGGATGAAAGTGAAGCCATGACCAAGGATGTTTTTCGGTGTGCCCATTTCACTTGGCATTCCAAAAATTGCAATAATCCACTGTTAGAAGGGATTCTCTGGTACAGTGATGCAATGACGGCACAATAATTTGTCCAACCTCCACTGTAAAAAAGTCAGCAGAATCATGCAGCTATTGTCAAAGGGCGTATGATGGAGAGGAAGCAGACCCTTTATTTTAGTGGCACTGTGTATGTGTGTATGATACTAAGGAAGTTACCTCGCTGTCCCAGGCCCCTCAGAGGGGGGTATTGCTCTCTGTACATTTACAAAGAGAAAGGCATGGCCTAAAGTGAAGCTTCCATCAAACACGCTTCCTTGAATGATCGAAGCATCATGTGTTGCTTCCATCAAATGCTGCAGAACCATTTTAGACCACTTGGAGGGCAGTGAGGGGCATAGAAATGCCCAGCCAGTTCTCCACCACCTGGTGAGGTACCTCCCTCTCTTGCGCAGCTCCCACCACGTGGCTCTCTCTATGGCATCACAGTCAGGGTTGGGGCTGCAGCCTGGACATGCCTTCAGAGTTGGGGAGGAAGAAGTTGGGTCACACCTAAACTGAATCCCTAAATAATCTCCAAGAGACTGTACAACATCATCCCCCTTCCCCAAAAGTCACTGAGTTTGAAGTAAAATTACACAACTGGTTAAAATTAGCATGGTTTTAATTTGTACTTTGAAAGCCAGCTATGAAAAGGTGCCCACAGTTGATCTTGGTGAGGTGTTCCAACCTGCTTTAGACATCCAAGGGCACAAACCACCCTGCTTTAGAAATCACTGCTGGCAAAGGAGAGACGAAGCTCCCAGGCACCACTGAAGTACTCCGATTCTCAGTGGGTTGGATAGGTTTACAACCACAACTTCCCCGGGGCCACGGGAGTGCAAAAACAACGGGAATCCTTCCTGTGACTCAAGCAAGCTGTGGAAGAGGCCTCTGGTGTGCTCAGAGTGAAAACTCCAATGAGGCAGAATGGGAAGCTCTGACTTGTTCTGTTGTATGCTTAAGTGTACAAAGTGTAATTCCGCTCAGCGCATTAGTGTTTCTCATCTGAGAACAATTGTGTTTAACTGCTTCCCTCTCTTGCTTCCTCAGCAGGTATTTTGCTGCAGCAACAGCAGCAGGTGAATGAGTATATGGCCACACAAGTACACACATCAGATTCCTTTCACCTGGCCCTCTACTGACTTGTTACAAGTAACAGCAGGTTAATCCCTGGTAGCCACTCCCACAGGAGATGTTCAGGTGGTTAGGCATGCTAAAAAGGCACTGTTTTGACCTCAGCAGGTAGGTACAGCTGGGGAGAAAGGGATCCGTTTTCACAAAAGTTCTGTTTTATGAGTTAAGAAAATGGCTAGGCATCTGTAGATGCCAGCATTCCTTGTGTTACTTGTTATTTTGGGCTAGGTCATATTTAATTGTCTATTGTGCAACGGTGGGTACCAACCTCTTCTGGAGTCCTGACTTTGATGAGCTTCGGAATAGACCATAAATCAGTAGTCCAAAATGCAAGAGATGCATTTATTCCAGGGACATTGTAACAAGAAGAATCCTATGGAGCAGCATCAGAAATGAGTCTGATTCTTCAGGGTAGTTAAGTTAAATATTTACCCCAATAAGAAAAATTGTACTTACGCTCCGCCTGGCTCTTTATGCTTGATTGGTACCAGAATAAAGCTACAATAACATAACTTCTCTTTTTGTAAGAGCAAATAATGAATTTAAACTGTAAACAGGTTGTAGTCCTTGCTTTGTAAAGGGAACTTGTGGTTGGTTTCTGTTGATAACATCTCACACTGAGGTGTGGCAAGCGAACTTCAGCTGTTAACTGTTGTCCTGGTTTCAGTTAGCACAGAATTAATTTTCTTCCTAGTAGCTGGTGGAATGCTGTGTTTTGGCTTAGGATGAGAAGAGTGCTGATAACACCCCGATGCTTTAATTGTTGCAGAGCAGTGCTTATACTAAGCCAAGGACATCTCAGCCTTTTGCTCTGTCCTGCCAACGGGCAGGCTGGGGGTGCAGTAAGAGCTGGGAGGGGACAGACCCCGGACAGGTGACCCAAACTAGCCAAAGGGGTATTCCATACCATCTGACGTCATGCTAAACAATATATAGGGGTGGCTAGCCGGGGGAAGGGGGCCGGACTGCTCGGGGTTAGGCTGGGCATCGGTCAGCGAGTGGTGAGCAATTGCATTGTGCATCACTTGTTTGTACATATTATTATTATTTCCCTATTATCACCATATTATTATTATTGTTATTATTGTTATTATTATTTTGTTATTATTATTTTCCTGTCTTATTAAACTGTCTTTATCTCAACTCACGGGCTTCACTTTCCATTTCTCTCCCCCGTCCCAGAGAGGGAGGGGGGAGGGTGAGCGAACGGCTGCGTGGTGTTTAGCTGCCGGCCGGGTTAAACCACGACAACTGTACATTCTCCAGACTTGTCTTTCTTCAGCAGCAAATTGTGTTATGATTCATGGCTTTTAGAAGAGTGATGGTTTATTCAACCTAGCCGTGAACGCAGCTAAAGCTGGGTGGGATACCTGACAGCTGTGGCTTGCTTTGGAAACTCTCCCTGGTGCTGCAGTACTGCGTCAGAACCGCACGGCCCGAGTTAGACTGATCAGAAAATCTGAGATCAGGAAGACATCAGCCCCAGCCTTAGTGAGAGGGATTGCTAAAATTATTTCTGCCCTCTTTGTGGCATGGAAGTAGATTGTTACTTGGGATTATTCAGGCATTTAGTCTAACAAGTTTCTTACTACCATAAGGGACGTAAGGGAATGAGTACCTAGACAGTGTCCTGGATCTCCTGTGCTTGCTTCTTGTGGATGCTCCAGAATTTGTTGGTCTTGGTACTGCAGCCTTGTGGTGTGAGATGCTATCCTGTGGTTTCAGTGTGACGGGATGCTTTTGAACCAAATATCATGTGGTGGTGCACAATTGGTCTTGCTCACCCTGGCATCCCCTTCCATTTTCATCCCATGTTTAGACCTCGTTACAGTACTTGTGTTCTAGCCTGTGCCTTAAAACCTGATCTCTTTTGTGGTAGGTCTGTTGCAGGGAACAGTCATTCCTGGAAATGGGCTTGCAGGCTGCATGGAGTGCTTGCAAGGAGACACTGCACTGCAGAACTTTTAATTGTCTCTTTGCTTGTGATTCATAGTGCTGGCGTACTCGGGGACTCCTATACCAGACACAATAGAGCCAGCTGTTGCAATTGCAGAAATGTATTGTTCTGGTATTTTAACTCTCCAGAAACATGCGCTGAGGACATGAGCCTGTTGAGATCGGTTGCAAGGAGGCATCCCTCCTAGTTGTGACCACCCTGGTCTGTCCCTAGAGGTGGATTCCTTTCTTTCAAAATCTTCAGGTCAGTGCTTTGAGAATACATCTTCAGGTCGGCCTCTTAGTCTAGAAGAGCAGCAATTTGAAACACTACAGACTGTGTAGTAAAGAGTGTGTTTAAACTGCTTGTGGTCACCTCTGCTGACAATTTTCAGGGGATATTTTAAGCACTGCTCTGTAAGACATCCTTGAGGGGCTTGCCAGTCTTTTTTTTCAAAAATGTTCCACCTTCCATAGAAGCACTGAAATTGTCATTAATACATAAAGACAGACTGAGACCATGCAAATGTGGTTTGTGCTCCAGTATAAGTTCATATATATATATATCTATATATATTATATAGATAGATATGTATAGCAATTAACCACTCCAGAGCAACCTCAAACCCTGAAGTCAGGGCTCTGTACTGGGAGGTGAGTAGCCTACAGTCGAATCTCTCATATCCCCCCTTATGTGAAATATAACATATACTAAACTTTGGGGCCAGACAGGGACTTTGATGTGCAGGGAAAAGATAAAGGAAAAGCCAGAAAAAGAGTATTCCAGCAAGTAAATGGGGATGTAGTAGTCCCTCGTTGATAATCAAATCCATGAATAACCCATTCGATTGAACCGTGTGCCCCAGTGACAAAGTGAAATGTCTGCATAGCTTCTTGTGACAGGAGAGACATTCATTCTGAACCAGAATAAAGGGACAGAGAATTATTTTCTGTGACTTTACTATAATTTTATTATTATTATTTTCTGTGACTATGATGAAACAGCTAAGTACAGCTGTGACTGCCTCTGCTATTTCCCTTGCCATATTTTCACCTGCTTTTTCTCTGAAGAAGAGATGTCAACTTCATCTTTTTTCTGTTCTTTTCATAGGAAAGATTCCTCTGTCAACTTCATCTCATGGTTGTCTGGCAAATCCAAATAAATGTAATTAAATATTAAGGAATTGGGCAAGCAGTGATGGAGTAAATACCACAGACCCTGTACAGATCTCAGGGTGAGATTTGACTGTTTAACAGATGCATACTGTTTACCTGATGATAAAGGTATACTTTGGAATAATCTTATTTTGGTAATTTATTAGTTGATTTTGTTTTTGAAGTGGATGGTGGAAAGACTGAGCTGAAAACAATCTGCTCTCATTATCTGCAAGGAGGGGAGAGTATCAGCATTATTCTGGCACTGACACTCCATCTGGAGGGACAGGTGCTCTTCTTTGTCCATTCAAACACAGAGTTTTTCCTCAGAGCAGTAAGAAGAGTTTTCCCTTGTGTCCTTTATTACAGAAGCTTTAGGCAGATCTACCCAATGAACCATGATACTATTTCGTTTCATGCTGGCCATCACACACACATGAAACAACGCCAGCTTTGGGCAAAAACAGCTTTTGTTACTGGGGGCATTAGCAAATGCGTGTAGCATGGCCAAGGACAGCACGAGCCCATCAAGAGACAAATCAGTCGAGCTCCCCAGTGCAGATAGATGGGGCCTGCATCTCCACCACACACCAGCTGTCACGGAAAAAAAAGGACCAGGGAGGCACTGGGGCATACTGTAATTAGTTGGGGGTCTAATGAAGCAGGTCCTTTTGCCACCGCTGATGGATGCACAAAGGCAACAAAGCTGCTCTGGACAGCAGAGCAGGGGGGTGAAATCTGCAGTTTGCAAGATTCCTGTCTGATGATGGTTTTCCCCCACTCAGTGAGGTGCTGCCAGCTCACAGACAGCACAATCATACTCCTCAAGCACTGAAACAATCAGGTTTTTAAAATCTGCAAGCCTTGATATTTCAAATGATTGAGGCTCATAATAAATGTACCTTGTGAAATGGGAATAGGTTTAAAAAATGAGCCTGAGTGACTGAAGGGTTGAGAGAGCCAGAATATGTCAACAACATGTTTTAATTACTCTGTGTATTAGTTCCTCTGTCACTCCTAGAGCTTTCAGAAAACTAGCTCTGAAACTGTTCTTTATTTAGAGGGGGAAAAAAAAAAACAGTCTAGGCTGACTCACAGGTGTCTGGAAAGGCCAGAATACTTGTCTCATTGCATGTTTCATCACAGTATTTTCAAGACATTATTGTAGAATGATGTCACCGAGGGAAAATGTCATCTCACCAGAGCTGCCCAGAAGTTTGCCTTTATTAAGTAGGTTGAACAGTTCAGTCTGCTTTAATGGTTAAGCTGACCAGACATTTCTCAGTAATCACAATGTTTTCCTTAACGTCTTCTTGGACTGGCAATGGGACAGGGGTTTTGGGGACTTACATCATTCCCAACTCTGCTATGTTTACCTACCACATAGATTTGTAGATATACACTTTAACATATCAGTGCTAAAAATAGCTTCAGGTTCTACACAGGGAAACGGATAATCACAGCTGAAACACTTCATGGAGTTCTCAGATTCACTCCATGGACATTTAGATAGATACAATTCTTCTTTTCTAAGGTTTGGGCAGCTTGACCTAAATGCTTGTGTAACAGAGTTTGACCACAAAGCCCTTAGAAATAGTGAGCTAGATTAGGTAGCTAATTAAAATAAATAAATAAAGGAGAGTTAATGGAAGACAAAAGGCAAACCCTTCCCGGCTCTGTGCAGTCACCATATCATCGCCAAAAATCTTCCCCCGACCTAAAGCTGCTGCTGCTGGGTACAGCCGAGGAATCGAAGGAGGCCATCAGAGGAGGCTTAGGCCACCTCTGTTTCCAGATGGTGGACTCTGCACTTCCTCCTCACCTACCAGGGTCACCCCATGGTGTGTTAAGGCCATTTGCTGGCTCATTGGAAATGCAGCCTCAAATGTTTCTAAATGGTCTCCAACCACTGGGAAAAAAAAAATAAATACAAGAAAATGATTATTCTAAACTGTGGTGTGTAATTAGACTAAAATTATTCTGAGTGTCAGAAGATGGGCAAGCCAAAAAGAGGGAGAAGAGGAACTTGCTGGTAGATGATGATTTATGAAATAAAATACTGCAGATACTACTCAATTGCTTGCTAGCTTACTCTTTCTACATATTGTCTCCTCAAAACATCATCCCTTCTACCTTTAAACCAAGCAGCTGGATTCACAACCCTGATCCCTAGGCAGAAAGACCAGGAAGTGGAGGAACAGTACTCCTCTACCCTGTCTTTCCCACATCCACTTTGCAAAGCTTTTTTGCTTCTTATTTTTGCCTGGCTTCAGTTGACCTCATGGACCTGGCATGGTCATCTTTCCAAAAGCCTGACTCCACTGCTCAAAACCCCGTCATGGTGCTATGTAAGCAGTGGTTTCTCCAGAAACACTGAGCCTCTGCCCAAGGAGGGACCATTTGTGACGAGAACCTTCCAGAGGAGATCAAGAACATGTCAGCCATGGGCTTTATCACACCTCTTGTCAGAGCTTAGGGAAGGGGATTCTTTATCAGAGAGACTTTGAGAAGGAAATAAATCAGTAACAAAATCGTTCTGAATATTGACCTTCATGTCTTCCCCTACACCCTTCCTCTTGTTTCCCCTTCTTCAGAAAGACTTATTTTTGCTTGTGAAGGCCCAAGCCTCCATGAGCATATAGCTGCCTCCCCACTGAGATGGGTGGTGTGTGTGCAGTGGAGTATGGCATGGCAGTGATGTAAAACTGCCCCAAAATGCACTTGTGAAGTTCTAGCCCCCCAGTGGCTTCAGGCACCGTGTTTTCCTGGTACAAAAATCTGCCAGCCTTGACCTTTTTTGAACTCATTTCTTAAGAACACTGTCTCAGTTGATGCTGGTGGTTTCCAAAACCATTCAGGAAGTGTTTTAAGTGCAGTGCATTAGGCTTCACCTTCCCTATGGCCCCGATGTAGCACTTAATACGAGCACGACTTGATGTGTTAGTGCAAGGCCATTTGCTCCGAGTTACACATGCTTCTGCTGGGGAGCAATGGATCAGCCTGAGAAACTAATGAGCTGAGCAAGGGACTAAATCAACTGAAGCCAAGCTGTAGACTTCTTCAGGGAATGCTAGTGTCATCTGGAGCTGTTGTAGCCAGCTGGGTTTGTTGGCCCTGATACTCCATGCAGCAGAATGCTTAGGGCCAGAAGTGGTGAGACAAGTGTTACACACAGGTTTTACTGGCTTTGATCCAGAAAGCAACAGGCATGTCAGGGTTTAAACTTCAAGTAGTGAGTTAACATCTCAACATGTTTTGCAGCATTATCCCTAAATATCCAAATCCCTGATATAGCTCTGTGCGTATAAATATGTATGCAGAGACACACATACCTATGTACAATGTTTGTCTGGGAACAGACATTTGAAGTAGTATTTAACATCTTCATGCTATTCTAAGTGTTACTGAAAGATGATAAAGGATGTACAAGGAAATGGTACAGTGAGGGAGCTGAAGCTCCATCACTTGGGCTCTCACATTTATTACAAATGTCTCTGGGTTGTGCCGGCAAAGGACAGAGCAAGTGAGGATCACTGATCATCGATTGTTCATTCACTGCCTGCTCATCTGCCTCCCACCCCCTTGCCTTTCTTTTCTTTGATTCTTCTCTTCTTGTTTTTTTTTTTTTTTTCCTTTTTTTTTTTTCTTTTCTTTTTCCCACTTGTGTCCTCACAGGATATGAGTAACTGTCACTGAAGTCAAACTGAGTTACTCACTTCCTCCATAAGGGAACTCAGATTCCTAAAGCACACAGTCTGCAGAATCACATAAATATTTGTATGCCTGCCCTGGAGTGGGAATGAGCTCTGAGAGCAGCCTTGTGAGGTTTCTTGCATTTCATGAGTGAATCAGGTGGGGAAAAAAAAAAAAAAAAACCAAGAAAAAAAAAAAAAAAAACTGCTTCTTTAAGTATTTTTGTTTCTGGAGAATTAACATTTATACAGAAGTCTTTAAAAATTGACAATATTAAATACGTTATGTGGTTTCACAGAAAAAGGAGTATGATCTTGTATCTATTTACTTTGAGGCTTCTTATCAGTTTTTGTTCTACCTACACTTCTTTGTCCAAGAAATGGTTTGACTGCTTTCTAAAGATAAAGAATTACACCAAGTTCAGTGGGCACAAAGTTTTGTATTTACAAAAAATAAAATAATAATAATAATAAAAAAAATGTATTGCCAGAGTTAGAAGCATGATAAACACTCCCTGTTGGATCTGAATAGTCCCACGCATCTGTGGTCTTCAGAGCTTCATAGGAACATCCTCAAGTACTCATCTGAACTCAAATCTCTGTGGAGGCTGCACAGGACAGACTGTAAAGCCCTGTAGAGTGAACTTTGTACTTCAGCCCAACTGACTACATCTTTATATATTTACTCACAGCTTCCTCTTGACTTATGAACCTCTCTGAACCGTGGACTTACAGCCCCCTCTGAGCATACAGAGGAGCTGATATAAAGCCACAGCTACTGCTTGCTTCATATTGTGCTGTGTCTCCAGGCAGCAGCCTGAAAATCTGGCTGATGATCACAGTAGGGGCTGCCTGAAGATAGTGCTGCCTGATATTGCATGTGCTTGTGGCAGGACTTCAGATAAATCTTTAACTCTGGGCCTTGTGTGAAAACTAGAGTTGAGAAAGACAACCTCTCAAGATGGTTTCTTACATGGGAAACTCCCCTTTGGCCTGACCCAGCAGGTGATAAAACTCTTCAGCTTGTAGAAGCACTTGTGGTTATGTTTTTAAAGCTGAAATACGCCCCATGAAAAAACACAGGCACCACAATTATAAAAAAAAACATCCTCTCTTAGCGTCACTGGGTCACACACTGAACTGCAAGGACAAAGCAGGTGATTTTTGGTCCTACAGAAACCCAGAGATTTCTCTGCCAGGCTGCAGTCTTCAGTTCTGCACTCCTGCAGCTCAGCTTTCTGACTCCAGCCCAGCAAGCTTCACTCCAAGATACCTGTATCCTTTTCCATCTTCTTAAGATTTTATTTCATTTCTGTGTTTCTGCAGTGTTTGCTGCCTTGAATGCAAGTGACTGTTGAGAGGTCTCTGAACAGAAACCTGAATTTTGCTACCACTGTGAGCAAGATCAAGATCTTTGGGGCTCAGGCACAAAGAAGGATGCTGTCCCTCTCCCTGTCCCTCCACGGCGCTGTAAGAAAAGCAATACAGTCATCTGTGGGTTCAGGAGGAAAAAGAAGCAGTACAAAATTTATGTGTCATTTGCCATTTGGATGAGGCTTATATCTCACCTGCTAAAGTCAAAGGCACACCCCAGTAACTGCACAGAGCACAGAAATGAAACAGCAGTTTTAGTGTAAGAGAGACTTAAAAACATGGTGTCTGGAAGAAACATATACCACTGAAATACTTCTCTTCTATTCCTTGTTTCACAAAAAGAAAAAGAAAAAAAAAAAAAAAAGGAAAAAAAAAAAGTGAGATAAGTGAGATAATGAAACAACTGTGTCAGAAACCGCAGGTGTTCATAAGAGTTTTTATGCTCTAAGAGGTTGCTCCCCTAGAGAAACACCTTGGGATTCCTGCAAATCCAGCTGGGGTTCATAGTACCTCTGTCAGGGAGAGAATAGCTCTCTCACTTGTGCAGCCTGGGGTGCTTCACCTTTCAGATCAGCACCTCATGTGGTTAATGGTCAGAAGCTTTGTTTCAGCTTCTAGGGAACACTGACAGGCCACCAAAACCTCTGCTGTAAGCACTGCCAGTGGAAGCAAGATTGAAAGGGGAGGGAGCTGGCTCCAGCCTTTCCTCATCCTGCCCAGTGCTGCCCGGTCAGAGCTGAGAAGTGCCTGCAGCACAGCACAGAGGTTATCACACCTCTTCCTTCCCTCCAGGGTTAAATCCCAGCCTCAATGAAGCCAGAGACTGAAGTACTACCAGCCCTCCACCACCTTATCGTGCCGGTGCCTACACTGATGGCCACTTTGGCCTCAAAGAAAAGGCTCTTCAAGAAATTTTGCAATCTCCCTTTTTAGAGGTTAATCAGACTAGTCCTTTTCCTGGTACAACACCACATTAAAAACAAAAGTCTTGGAAAAGTCATCGCAGGATTATTTTTATTTTTTTCCTGTGGGAGGAAGGAGAGCCACACAGTTGGCAAACACAGATTGTTTTTTTCCCTCCTAAAAACATTATTTCTTTGCCTTAGTTTTTGCTATGTTTCAAACCCTCGAAATAAAGACCTTCTCAGTATTATTTATCATCAAACACTAAAGATTTTTCTCTGCTCCACAGTGCTGTTTGTTGGCCACATCTCTGACGAGTATAAAGCACAGCAGAGAAGGAGGCTGGAAGGGACAAGGGATGTGGCAGGAAAGAGAATTAAAAAGATCCAAGGGAGATGGTATATTCTGAGGATCCAAGAACTTCTGAATTTCAATAATCCTGTCTCTGCCACAAGTTAGCTAGCTAGGTTACAGGGGAAAAGAAAGGACCACTGAAATCAGGCTATATGCAGTTGTTTACATTGAGAAGAGCAATAACTGAGAACAAATACAAGGCAAAGAGTTGGGGAAGCACTGGGGAGTAAAGATGGCTGTGCTGAAGACGTGATTCTCTAGCTCCTTTGGGGAGAAACCAGGAAAATGGTATTTCTGACACTTCACAGAAATGTATCAGTAAAGCCAAAATGTTTGATTTTATATTCTTATTATTTCTGAAGAAGAAGACCTGTGGGACAAACCTCTGCTAGGTTTTCTCTGTGATAAAGAAGAGTGCCTTTATATGTGCGTGCGTGTGTGTGTGTGTGTGTGTGTGTGTATACAGCTACAAGCCTAATTTCTTTTTAAGCTTGAAGGTCACCATTAAGCAAAGATCATGGCCACAATATTAAGTTATACTTAGGTACAAAAACACAACAAAGGAACAGGATAGTCTGTATTTTTTCAGTGTCTGTGACACTTTTATTACCGATTTGTTATTGCTGTCCTATGGGAAAGTCACTGAAGCATACATTATTATTCTCCACACCATCTTCCTTCCCCATGCTTCAAAACCAGTTAAATGCAAAATTCCAGATTAGCAGTGGAAATGTCTGCACGTGTCTGAAGTGATTTTCCTTCTAGCCCACCATTTGTCACTCTGGGAGATGAAGTGGGGTCAAGCTGCTACTTGACCTTACGCTTTTTCTTCTTGCAATTCTTGTCTCAGACCAGCAACGTGAGCAAAACCCTATCTAGCTTTTAAACTGTCTTTCTGCTTATCAATTTGTTTTCATTCTCCTTTTTCAAAGTTATTATCAAGCTGCCACAAGAGTTATTGATATTTGCTGAAGCATCCATAATCTGATTTTCTCCACCCAACCCCTTCCTGTGCTGGTTCAGCCAGTGCTCTGCACATTCCAGCCTTGGACAGAATCAGTTAATGACATGGCTACTACTGAAGAAGCATGCCCAATGAGAAACTTCATTGGAGTCAAGAGTGCACTGCCAGAAAGGCAAATTAATACTGTTTTACTGGTGGTGGAGGATGACAGGTGAGTGCTTGCCAGAAGGCTGTACCCTGCACAGCTGTGCTTGCTTGCTTCTGCAGCTAATGAGCTCTGAAGCTGTCTGGGTCATCACATCCACACAGCTTCTTCCTTGAAGTGAGGAAGAAAATAGTGCATAACTGCTAGTGAAATGGCAGCAACTACAACAGCCAGGTGTTGGCCTGTCTACAACAAATGCTGGCTTGCTGCAGTTCAGGTCATTTCTCTTTTGATGTACCCTTGTTTGTTAATTCTGCTTATCCGAAGATGGACCCAAGCAGCCCTGGTCATCACATCACAGCAGTGTCACAGGGAATCCTTCCCAGCTGCATGTGGAAACCTGCAAGGCTTTGAGGAATGCCTAAAAGCCATACGAAGCCCCAGCGGTCAAGGGAAGAGCTCGGCTTGACCTGAGTGGTATTTCATTCAGTTTGCAGCTATGGCACTGAGATTCAGACATCAGATTTACTGAGCGAAGGAGTCCATGTGCATCTCCCTTTTGGAGAGGCTGCCTGACAGCTCCTCCTGCAATTGCAGCTCCATAGGGTAAGAATACTGATGCTGCCAATCCCTCACATGGATTGGAAACCACCAGAAAACGTGGCTATATTCCTGCTAAAGCAGATACTCGAGCAAGTAGCATCTGGACTTTCAGTTTACATTTTTGTGTGCCATCTTACCGCATGTCAAGCTGCCCTCAGAACCAACCTGTCCTAGTAAACTCTGCATCAGTCTTTGCTGTTATGTTTTGCTCTCTTTCTTGTATTTGTCTAAATACATCCAAAGTCATTGCTACACAAAAGCTCTTCTGGATTAGTCAAGAATCTGGGGTAAGGTCCCTTCACTGCACCACAGCTGACTTGCTTGCCACACGTCTCCTGTTAGATTTCCAAACAACATTTTCACACACATGATGGGCACTCTCAGAGCTGGGTTTGGGGCTTTCGGTCTTGATACTTCAGGATCTGAAATTTTAGGAAGAAGACTGAGAAGTGACATGGTAGCTTTCTGTGATCTGAATATGGGACTGCAGGTAAAACTACATCTTAAGGCTGCCTTGTATCATTAGGTAAAGGAAGCAGAAATAAAGTGGGTTTGGCTGTGCCATTAGTTGGCCAGATGTTTATAATTCAGATAAATACAGTCACCCTTTCTGATAGGAATGACACCCTTCCCTTCACTCTGCAATCTGCTCCTGTGCTTCTGGGAAACTGTAAAAATATGACAAAGGTCATGCATTTCACTCTGCTTTTGCTGGGAGATAACACCCTGAGCTGGCTCTCTCACACCTGTGTTACCCCTGCTGCCCTCAGAGCTGAGCCTGCACCTGCAAGAAGGGCCCATCCCTGATTTTCTGGAAAATATTGGCCACTTAACAAATTTGTCCCCTCAGGGAGGCTTTTCTAATCCAAAAAAAAAAAATAAAATATCAGTGCAATGACAATGACAAGATGTTCTCCTGTTTCTCTCCTGTTTCCCTGTTTGCACTGCACAAGAGGTGACCTCAGACTCACCAGGAAAAACGGCACTCTTAGTCATCTTGCTGATGTTTTCTGAGACATTGGCTCAATACCATCTACTAAATGTAGGCTGGCTAGGTCCCTGTATCAGAATAAAAGCCTCAGCTCTGGTCTTTAACCTGAATTCCCCTTTTTTTAACAAGTAATGTAGAAAATGCTGCTTACATAGGAGAGCGATTCCAATTCTCTTTTTGTCCGGGCTGGAGTTTCAGTGCATGTAAGTGGTGACCCTGGGAGATATGCAAGCTGCCACGTATTCCTGAGGGTTGATGACCCTTTGCTGGCCTCCACATCTCTGTGTGAGCACAGCCCCTCTGCTTGGCTCTGATGGCACCAACAATTTGGTAGAGCCTTTGGTTATCCTGCCTACCTTGGGCTAAGGTCATATCATGATGTCACTCTAGGGCCAACCTCTTTAGACACTTCATGGATGAGTGGGTTAGGGAGCTCCTAGGAGCTGATGCAGCCCTTGACTTGTACCTAAGCAGTGCACAGCATTTCCAGAGGCCAAAATATATGCAGATATGCTCAGCTTTGGAAAGGGGAACTGTATTAAAATGAGGAAGCATTTTTAAAGGAATTAAAAGGGGCAGCTAGGAGAAGTAAGTCCTACAAGCAGCACAAAGGTTACTGAGGGATGCCATGTTGGTAGCACAGTGCTGGTACACACCACCTTTTCAGAAAGGCTCGAAAAAAGGGCTAAGGGCAGCCATCTTTGTTAAGCAGCAGAACAGGGAAAGGCGTTAGGAAGAAGTTCAAAAAGCTGAAGGCTTGTCTGAGGGGAGAAAATAGAAACAATCATAAACTCTGTCAGATTAAAAGCAAAAATGCAATAAGAATGGTCAAAAAGAAGGACTTAGAAGAAATTTTTAAAATACATATCCAAAATAAGATAAATATATATATTTATATATTTATTTATATGCCATATATATTTATTTATATGCCAGGCACACACAGTCCAAACGGTTCCTTCAATGTGTTGAAGATAATTTTCTAATGCAGGTGGTGGAGGAGCCAAAAAGCCAAGGGGTTCTTCTGGACCTTGTTCTTACCAACAGGGATGGGCTTGTTAGGGATGTGAAGGTTGGGGGCACCATGAGATGGTGGAATTCAGGATGGAAAATGGTGGAAGAAGTAAGGCAAAAAGCAGGATTGCTACCCTGGACTTCTGGAGAGCCAACTTTAACCTCTTATGGGACCTACTTGGGGGTATCTCATGGGCTAGGTTGCTAGAAGGCTTGTGAGAGCTGGGCAACCTTTAAACAGTACTTCTTCCAAGCTCAGGATCGGTGCATCCCTAAGAGTAGGAAATCAGGTAAGGGGGGCAGGAGACCTGCGTGGATGAACAAGGAGCTCATCAACAAGATAAAAAGGAAGAGGAAGGTCTATGTGGAAATGTGGAAAAAGGGCCTGTCCCCTTGGAAGAAGTATAGGAGT